ATAATAATAATAATAATAATAATAATAATAATAATAATAATAATATCGCACATAGATCCCCTCAAGGGAAAGCTAACTCGACTATAAGGAACCTGCTGGTCTAGTTCTGTTAGAATAATGAAAAGTGACTGAAAAAAGCCGGAATCAGTGTGACGTCACGAGATGGAGAACACTTGATGATGGAGCCTANAAATAGTTGTGAGTTCGTTCAACGTGTGATGTGTCACTTTTGAACTTTTGGTTACATGGCGTTAGTTACCTAAAGGTTGACTGGACTGTTACCAAAATCTGAGTCTGCTGGCATGTTAGTCGAACACACGCTTGTTGTGTTTAGCTGTTTCGGATGCCGAACGTGTGCTAATTTGATGGTGTTTGCTAAGTCTGTGAGAAAGAGTACTGTCCTCTAGGATGGCGTCCAGATTACTCACTCGAAGCAGTTGCATAGTTCGTGTGTAGAAATCGAGTAATTCTGTTCAATTTTTTCTGCAATATGCACACTACTTCAAGCTTATCGGCGCGGCATGAGTGAACCAGAACTGCACTAGCAGTATACAGAACACAGGTATACCCCAGGTAAAAAGTACAACAAACTATTTTCCCCAAAGGACACTACTCACAATTTTGCTGCAAAACGGAATATCATGAACGGGAGGTTCAGGTGATATGCAAAAAGTGTATTTATCGAGCAACAACGCATCTTTTTGTCCTTTATTTCTGGGAAAATAAATGCACGTCTCTTCAGGATCGGAGACAACAGCCAACTCGGAAGTGCTTATTTATTTTTCGGAACCGAGTTGCTGAAGGGCAAATTCATCTTCATATCCACCCGACCACAAGAAGTTACATTTTTTATCTTGTTCGAGGCAAAAGAATTTGCGTAAGACAGCTGGGTGACAGACGATCCGACAAAATGCGATATCGCAGCGAAGCCTCGGTGTTGAAGACTGATGTCATGCTGTCATTGACGGTGATGATAATGGTGATAATAATAATAATAATAATAATAATATCGCACATAGATCCCCTCAAGGGAAAGCTAACTCGACTATAAGGAACCTGCTGGTCTAGTTCTGTTAGAATAATGAAAAGTGACTGAAAAAAGCCGGAATCAGTGTGACGTCACGAGATGGAGAACACTTGATGATGGAGCCTATTGCATCAGCACCTCGCCGTTCATTCGGTAGTTCCTCTTGTAACTTTCAGTCACTTTTTCCAAGTATCGTGACCACATCCTGGTTGGGATGAACTAGGCATGGTGGCCCAGGGAGCACGTAACAGTAGATCCTATTGTTGGATGGATGGCTTGGTGATGACTTTCACCACTTTTATTGCTTTCCCGCCTTAGTGTCGTCGAACAAAGTCACGCAGTAACGGGACAGTTTGGTTAGACAGTCCATAATGAGTCGCTATCAGAGCTAAATTTTGCTCGCAGGAGAAAACTACCCCCAAGGCTAGGCAAGGTAACCGACAGATAGGCTGCATGGCGGAAACTTCACTAACCTCAACTAGTGCTGTCCCCTCGCTTACTCTGATTCCTATCGTGACTTGAGATGCACAAACGCATATACAAGAGATGGGGCTATACTTAAATTTTAACATGACTGGCTTAGTTTTCATGAGGCGAAGACGCCCCATTCATTTGATCGCGACAGCCGTCTACTTGAATATGAACAACTCCGGTGGGAACCGCTTTCGTAATAAGACGATCACTGTACAAGCGGTGTCGCTGAGCGACCGCTTTCCGAGGAGTTAGACAATGCTAGATAACGCAACAGGAATTGCGTGACTGAATGAGGGGTGTGAGTGAATCACATCGTTGAACAGCCGCCTGAAGCTGATTGGTAGGTTGCGGGTTCAAATTTCCATAAAGATTTGTAAGAGGTTGCTTGTTCCCAACAAGAATGCTTCTCAGCTTTCCAGCGAAGTTTGGCTTCACCGGTGAGATGAATAGATTGTATGGTGCCCCGAAATTCCTTCCATATGTGCAAGCTAGGACGAGTCAAAATTGTCTACATCGTTGGATAATTTACCTTTGGATAGGCTCATTACTGAACTAGGCATGGTGGCCCAGGGAGCACGTAACAGTAGATCCTATTGTTGGATGGATGGCTTGGTGATGACTTTCACCACTTTTATTGCTTTCCCGCCTTAGTGTCGTCGAACAAAGTCACGCAGTAACGGGACAGTTTGGTTAGACAGTCCATAATGAGTCGCTATCAGAGCTAAATTTTGCTCGCAGGAGAAAACTACCCCCAAGGCTAGGCAAGGTAACCGACAGATAGGCTGCATGGCGGAAACTTCACTAACCTCAACTAGTGCTGTCCCCTCGCTTACTCTGATTCCTATCGTGACTTGAGATGCACAAACGCATATACAAGAGATGGGGCTATACCTAAATTTTAACATGACTGGCTTAATTTTCATGAGGCGAAGACGCCCCATTCATTTGATCGCGACAGCCGCCTACTTGAATATGAACAACTCCGGTGGGAACCGCTTTCGTAATAAGACGATCACTGTACAAGCGGTGTCGCTGAGCGACCGCTTTCCGAGGAGTTAGACAATGCTAGATAACGCAACAGGAATTGCGTGACTGAATGAGGGGTGTGAGTGAATCACATCGTTGAACAGCCGCCTGAAGCTGATTGGTAGGTTGCGGGTTCAAATTTCCATAAAGATTTGTAAGAGGTTGCTTGTTCCCAACAAGAATGCTTCTCAGCTTTCCAGCGAAGTTTGGCTTCACCGGTGAGATGAATAGATTGTATGGTGCCCCGAAATTCCTTCCATATGTGCAAGCTAGGACGAGTCAAAATTGTCTACATCGTTGGATAATTTACCTTTGGATAAGGCTCATTACTCATCACACTTTGTGTTTAGACTTCGCTATCATCAATGTATGATTTTTCAGTGTACATAAGCATTACAATGATAATTTTTCCGAGATGGCCTTGAGCGTAAATCCATGTGACTATTCTCAATGGTCTGCACATTCTTCCTTCATTTCTTATGTTTTGTTGTTAGGTGAAAGTCGCCCCTCGAAACGACCCGTCCAGACTAACTACACACTGCTTCCAAACGAAGTCAGTTTCGGACTCCTCATCTCCACAATTTGACGAGACATTTTGCTTGTAAGTTACAGATAATTCATACATACATTTGGAAATAAGCATACAATACGGAGGTATGACTGGATAGAACAAGCTAGGAACCTTTGCCTCTTAGGTCTGTTGTACCCTGTTGAAATAACCTATCCACACTTAAAAGTTTGCCACTGCATTCTTTAATAAGCAAGCTTTGTATTTTCAGGAATCCTACGTGGTCTGTTGCGCATGTTTCCCGAGATTACAGCGATTAAAAAAGGAAGTCTACCCAAAATTGCTTTGCGCACTTGTCGACTGTCCTTATGAGAAGTCCGAGCCAGAGTTCTCGCTACACCCTGGTAAAAAATGACACTGGATGCTTGGCAATATATCTAAATGTTATGGTAGCGCGGACGACTGCCGGTTACGTAGCTGTTGGTCTGTTCACCGAACTTGGTAGCTGGCGCGCAAATGTTTGGTCACCTTGCGAGGAGACATCGTCGTAGGTCTGTCGGGCAATCCCCACTTTTAATAGCGTTTATACAGCTTCTACGGGGAACTTAGTGGCTGCAACCTGATTGGTTGTTTAAGGATTGGCCAACACTTGATCTGATTGGTCCTCTCGGGATTTGTATTGCTTTGTGTTCGGGCAAACTGATACTCACAACTACCAATTGAGGTCAATTTTGTTACCGCAACCAGAAACGCATATCGCCTGCCATTCCATTCACCTATAAACGAAACACAGTGCAAAACTTGGTCTAGACAGTCGATCGCAGATTTAAAAATTCTGGCATACAACGAACTGGGAAGCATGTCTCGGTGCCGATATGAGTGATGTGTTTAGTAGGCTCGACTCATGCGCACAACCCAATGAATTTTTTGGAGTTTTTGGCTTAAGATGTTTGTTAGTCGTTTAAAGCGTTCTATATTCCTCTATTCTATGTTATAATTGTTCAGCGGTCTACCCACAAGAGAGGATTAGAAAGCCGTCAAAATAAGTCGCTTTTAATGGGTCTCGATTAGTAAGGTTCCGTTGTGACTACGTATGACACGAGTTGTTAATTGGCTATTTACTGTTGAGTGGTAGCCACAATGCTTACTGTAACATCCGTAAGTAGTGTCAACTGCAAATGTACCATTTCATAAAGGTCACTAGTGTGTGCCTAGCATTAGCAGGAACGTGCGGAGAACCACGCAAAACAAAGGCCTTGTAACGGTAAAAATAACGGTACACTGCCCGGATGGTCAAAGAACCCTTTTTGGTTCGTCTGCTGGTTAGACGTAAACACAGACATGCGTGTGAAAAGTGCTAGTTGAACTGTTCTAAACGAATCATTTTGAAAAACAACTTCCAGAGTTTCATTTTGAATGTCACATAGATAATCGACCACGTTCACTCTCGGCATGAAAGGCCGGTACTCACAACGCGGTCGAACAATCATTTCGTTGTACCCTCCACAGTCCGTATAATTCAATACAGGCCAAACCACTTCGGTATGTTTCATAACATTGGGCACTGAAGGCAGGTTAAAATGAGCAGAAGTGATAGGTTTATTTGATGCGCCTTGCTAGTATCGCCTGAAAATATGAATGTACTGAGGGTTGATAGCCTCTTTTGGGTCGCCCAATGAACATGTTGCAGGACCAGCTTGTTCAATAGATTATTGCATTTTCAATTGCAATTTCAGTCCCTTAATTCACGCACCTCATGATACTACTAATATCTGGCTCATGTGTTAGAAATCCAACGCAGTAATTTGAATGCTATAATCGTGACGGATTCCTCGAAGGAACTGGCTCCACAGAACGTGTCCACGTCGCTAGTTTATACCATCCTGAACACTGTAAAATGCATGCCAGTTATGAACATGTTCTCGGTTTTTTTTCGTTCCGTCCTTTTTTGTCAAGCGACGTTAGCCCGATTAAAAGGCACTCCAGAATATTCATCGAGCTGTACCTCACTCAAAATAGGTGAGTTTCCATCCTCTTTTTCCACTGTTATTTTATAATCAAGCTGTGTGTCAAGTGAAACATTGTTGATTTGATGCAGTGTTTTGTGGTTTCCGTGGATCTACCTGATCAGCCGAAACGACCCCATATCGTCAAGTGCAAGAATGAGGAGTGGCCAGCAACGCACAACTAGAGGAATGGGAATCCACTGTTTCACTCATCACTAATTTCGTTCTATCTCTGCCTTGTTCAGAAGTACGAGAAAACGCCTTACGTTTTCTCAGGGGCGAGATGAGCCAAGTGATTAGAGCGCAAATGTACTGACCGGAATTTCTGTGGTTCCATCCCGACCTCTGCCTCTCGACTTCCTCTGTCTAAGCTTGAGCAACCTGAGAGTATCCCAGCCCTCGTGCAACCTTTGGGTGGCATGGCAGCTAGGCACCGAAAGAGTTCTAAAGCTGAACGATTACATTTTCCCACTTTTCGCATTAACGTTGGTAATAAAACCAGGACACGATCGGCGTAACTCCGGTAAAGCCTAATCTATGCGGGTAATCAACAGGACAGTGGAAGGGATGGCTAATAAAGGCTAACATCTGGCTGTAACAAATAACATATTTCAACCCAAACGACCCAACAATGGTGCTCATGCCTATCCAGCAATGTAACAGCACATATGCTGGCAGCCTTGGTGACAGTAAACTTACTTTCCCGTCGATAGCGTCACTTCACCAAACTTGTATTCTCTGGAGGCGTTGCGGTTTGGTGCCTTGGTTGTTGGTCTGTTCGCTGAGCTCGGAAGTTGAAACGGTTGCAGTCCAATGAGCAAGCTAGGCGAATAGATCAAAAACCGAACTTGTGGTTTCTAGTTATTCTGGTCCAACCATCCGATTTTCACCTCCTGCGCGTCTGTTCACTCCGATAAAACGGCCAACTGAAGTGGGATATGGCTGTCTGAGTCCGATGGCGAGAAGCTCCTGGATCAAATAGACGAATTCGAAAACGAAAACAGCGTGGAAACTGGATGGACCAGACGGATGTGGTTAGATTTATTCTTTTTTGGACCTCATATAGTACAGTTGCTACGCTTGCCTTATAGACACCAGACCTTCAACACATCGTTGACCACGAGGGTATTTGGCGGCTTTATTCGACGGAAAATTTCTTACATCTCAAGACTCCAAAGTACTCAGATTAGGATGATACTCTGGCAAAAATCCCCGAACCTTGTTTATATGTGCGTTTATGTGTGTTTATATGTGTTGACAAGGGCAGAAACAGAGAGGCTTCCGTCCAGGAAGAGTTTCCTTTGGCGGAATATTCGTATCATGCTACATTTTGTATCACTTACATGGGTTCTAACAACCCATATTTATTGATTTCTAAACATCATTTAATCCATTCTGCAAGCCAACAACCCAGTGGACCAACTGCTAAATACCACCAGACCTCGCTAATTGAGTGCAGAAGCCTGAATTGGAATGTGTAGGACAGAGGAAATAACTCTGTCAATCTGTGGTGTGGTTTTTTGCCCTGCTTTTTCAGTTTTGCTGGTTTGTTCTCTCAGTAGTTCTTTTGGTAGAATTGAAGCCTGCTGCATGGGTTAGGGACCTCGGCTATACGGATGATATTCTCATTCTTAACAACGATCATAACGAACCAGGATGTCGTCCATCACTGTGTCTCTTACTCTGAAGATAAGATGAGAAGAGCATATTTTTTTAAATACAGATTCGAATTACACAGGAGGGAAACACCTTTAAATAATGGTAGGAAGTAGCGCAATACCACATGTGAACTGGACGGCTGTCGGCTTTTGGTTGGTTGGAGGTTGTGATTCGGAGAAGATGGGCATCGGTGAAGAGTTCCAATAACCGGATGTTCTTGAAATAAAGTGAGATGAGAAGAGGCCAGTTCTAAAACGTGTAGTAGTAACTTCATGTGAGCAAAAGCGTGTTGTCTGACCAAACGCATAGACAAAGAAGCATAAGAAGCCAACTACAGTGAACATTTCTCTGGTAGTAACGGTGGAAGAAAGAAAGGGCTGACAGTGGGAAAATTGTTCGCGAGTTGTCCGTCAAGAAAGAGGTATCGGTGTTTTGCCCGGATAGAATCGCGAAGGGAGAAGGAGACACACGCAAACATGACAGCGGTCTCCCAGGATTGAACGAATTGTGAATTTATAAAGGAGGTGATGTAATTACGTGCTGAACAAAAGAAATCAACACTTCTAGATGCTCGCGCTGCGAGAACATTGATGTGTGAAGATCGGGGTAATCTATCGCAGAAGGATTGATCGATTAGGATGGAAGTGGTAGTAGTTCGTATCAACAGACTGAGTCACGAATGAAAGAGAAATGGGTACATTGAAGACATTGGAGGGGTTGAATAAAGCTGAGTTCTACAAGGTCCAATGAAGGAGGTCATCAGAGCATAAATGGCTTGCAAGCGACTCACAGCTATAGTGGAACGGAGTGCCGGGAGGATTAAGATGAAAGGAAGTTCAGAGTGGCGTCCGCAAAACCATGTATAAAAGCGGTAACGTTCGATAAGAGATCGCTCGCACAAAGGGGAAACAGTGTGGAGTGAGCCTAATTCCCTGGTGGACTGCAGCGCCAATGTTCCGACTCTGAGAGATAACTCTATTCATTCTTGCTTGCATAGACTGATTATGCAAGAAGCTTCCAACTTACGCCCACAGGCCGTAGAGAAAAGTTCATCTCAGTTAGCAATAAAGGGGAGCATGTGTGCCTTAATTAGGCCGCATAATTAGTTCAAACCTTATTTCTGGTTCCGCCCGATTTAATCTGATTCAGAAAGTCAAGTATGAAGACTATCGGTATTTTGGTGGTCTGTTGGATTTCACTGGTTTCCATGGATGACCAAATATTTATTCCGCGCAGTGTTCCATACCTTTTGGTTCCCGACTCGGCTGTGTTTTGCAGCAGCCATTCTTCCACAAACTACTCTAGTTCCAAAGAGTCTGAGTTCGTTCACGACTTAGCTTCATCCGCAATTAACCTTGGCATCAACATTCGATGATTTCGATGGCATTGCTCGTCTAGCCGCAGCAAGGGGGTCTAGTAAGAGGTCATTATTTCTTCAAACACATGAGTTTGGAAGACTAATTCTCTCCTCCTGAATCGGGTCACCCCGTATTCCATTTTAAATAGCGAGTTGTGTTATTTTCCGAAGACTGTAGCTCGAGCTCATCACTGAGTTTTTCATTTTACGAACTCATTTGTCCATGCAGGTTGCGTTTTTTCAGCGGCTTGCTGCGTATCAAGCACCTTTCATGACTTCCGTAGCAAATGAAAGGTAGATTGTTCAACCTAGATAACCTAGGTCAGAAAATTTCGGTGTTATCAACCCTGGTTAGAACACCATATTCACTTTTACCATGACTCCGCCTCCTACATAACCATTGAATAATCTCACCAGTTATTTGCTTACAAGCACATGTGATGCTGGTTAGATCGATACACAGCATAGACGATTCTTCGGTTGGCCAATTCGACTGTACTTGTGAGTGCGAACGTTCATCGGCATTCTCTTCTCCGATTGGTCCACGCAGAGTTCAGCCAGATCAGCTCAATGAATGTGATCAGTTGTTTGGTCTATGTTTGTGTCTACGTGTTTTTGTTCTCACTAGTGAGTGCACTGCTTGCTTACGAGCCACCAACAGATGTGTTTCTGACGTCCAGTACAGTTAGAATATGTAATAATTGTACATGGATTTCCTATCTTCTAGCGTCGATTCCGGGAACAAAACGTTTTTAGGCGGGATGTCCTTTGACTTGCAACATTTGCAAGACAGAATGTTAGCTGGAACGTTTCCTGCCTCATTCGGAATTCTTCCCAACCGACCACGAAGTGTCACTCTGCAGAATGATTGTTCACATCCCCTCAGCACACTTTCGGACGGAAACTCAGTCAAATCTATCTCGAGTCTTTCGATCTCCCAAGAACGGACACTGTCGGCACCCAGCTGGTACTACTTGTTCAGTAAACCCAATTCATATCGGCGGCATATGATGGTACCATCTGACCTGAAGCCTTTGAGACCACTTAACGGTCTGCGGAAAGTGGAACACCAAAAGGATAATAAAAGCGAGAACAGCGCTTCGGATCAACTGTTAAGCAATCACTCCTATCAAAGTGTAAATACGGCAGCTTCCGTCAGAAGTGAATTGAATGGAATTACCAGGTCCTCATCAAATCAGCAGATTTTGATCGTAAGTCATTGTGCTAACTATGCACTTATGTAGTTCATTTCGTACGTGATATCCCACTGTTTACGCTGACATTATCTGGAATGCTTCAGAACTTTGAATCGCGAAAGACAAGTCATATTAGCATCATCTGAAGGGCGGTGAGGGCGGTGTATGCCAAACTTTCCTCTTTCTACATATATGTGACTTGTTGATACAACCTCGGCGGATTCGCTCAAACCTTTCCTAAGGACAAGTGTTTAGCATACGAGACTCACTTTCAGGTCTGAAGTGGCTGATTTAATAAGCGCCTGCGCACAGTAAGTCAAGTGGTTTGATGGTTCACGCAAGTTGCTGGTGCTGATGTAAACCCGAGGAAATAAGTTCGGTGAACGTTTGAGAATCACCACCTGGCCTAAGCATGGCGAAATATAGGCGAGCATCAGCTTTAGTTCGTTTACACCAAAACGCTATCCTCTTAAATGTGTTCCTCCAAGTTTTGGCAGAATGCCGCACTACTGCGGGACGAAGTAACTTAATGCCAACTATCGCCTCACACAGGCTGAAATGGGCAATCGAGTAGATACTGATTGGAAGCCTCAGCAAACTTACCTTAGGCAACCCACAAGTACTTTAAGATCTGGTCCTTATAACATACCTAGGCGAACAGATCAGCCGTTCGTTCCAAGGCAGGATAATGTGCACCTATACTGATAGATAAGAGTGCGCGTACATTCTGCTTGTACTGTATTCACAAAATGCTAGTTGTCAGTCTCTGTAGAAACGCTACGCAAATGGCTTGTCGGTCGTAGTTTTGCCCTCATCCAGACAGCTTGTACTTCCCTATGCACGAGGTTTATGACAGTATTGTGCAGTTGGCCTACGTGTGTACTAAATCCTACTCAGTCACACCGCGGCAGCCAGCTGGTGGTGGAGAATGACGAAGAGTTCAGATAGGCCACAGGCAGGCGGTAAAGAATGGTGCTTAGCTGTCGTAACCAGTACTGCCAAGAAGTTTACGAATTCGATCCGTTCATTTAGGAAAGTTGGTTCCAAGATTGATCCACTTGCCTTACCACATGGCAGGTGACAAGGCGTTTCCAACTTATCAAACGACGAAGTTTGTAGACAGTTGTACTCATTCCCAATACAGATTTCGTCCTACCAGTGAAGTCAGTGAAAAGCCGAGAAGCACTGTTCAGGTTTTTCATCCTTTTTGAGGGTCACCAGCAGTACGTAGCTCAGGAAAAGCAGAGTTTCGAACCGGCGACCTTCCGGCCTGTTTCTGAACACATCGTTTGGCCACGAGCGGCAGTGTGATCAACTCCCACTTAGACACGCTATGGCGGGCACAACACTACGGGGGCTTGAACTCTTCAAATGTGTCACGTCGATAATACCAGTCCAGTGACACCACGTTTCTGACACGTCCCAAGAGGTTGAAACTTCACAAAACGCCATTCAGCAGTGTTCGGTCACCTCGTCGGAGGTCAGACGAACACAATGCCTTGAGGTTGCATATTTCCAAGCGATCGGTCCCAGTAGTTATTGTGGACACACTGTTAACTTCAACTGAATATCACTCCCCACCTTTTTCTTGCATTAGTGAATCCTGATTCAAGTTTTATGTGAACGTGCTTTTCAGAGACAGTCTGTGACGTAATGTCCCTTTGTCATTCCCTTTCTGACCAGATTTTCGTTGTTTGTCAGTATCTAAGAGTGATTAAAGCTCATAATAATTTCTCGCGGTTGGAATTTATCAAACCCTATTGACTTCGGTGACATACGAAACCCAATCTTTTCGTGTGCTCTGTCTAGCTAGGAGCATCATGCATTAAACAATGACGACCGATTATCAAACATTTTAATGATTTTTTCAACAGTCCCCTGAAACGCGGAGTCTCTGGCGTGACAAGATGTAATCATAATAATTGTACAATTAGTTCCAAGATTTCGCTCAAGTAGAGGACCGCGGGTCGAGTCATCCATACTAATGTCGTCTACTTCGAATAGATCCTCATACAGATTGTACCAAGCTCCGAACGTGGTTCTATCGTCCGACGTGTAAGGAAAATCTGAAACGAATGCTGTCAACTTATCACTCAGTGATGTGGACTAGACGACTGACAATGATGTACGGTTGGATAATTGGTCCGTCGGATTAGTAAAAAGCTTAGTTTGCATGATATTGTCTCCTGCTGTTGTTTGATGAGGGTCTGCAGGTCCCCAACTTTCGATAGAGCACACGTGGATAAGACTTAGGACTTATTCGCAACATGTTGTAGCTTCCGGGGCCTCTTCCAGTAGTCAGTCTGACAAAACCCACGGAGGGGAACTGCTGGACGACTTGTTGTTCTGACGTCTTATAAAGGGACAGGAGAATATATACGAAATACCGTCGGACAAGTCGGACAACAGAGTAGATCAGTAGATGGATTAGTCATGAAGCACGGGTCGATGAAGCAATCGAATCAACTGTTCAGACAAGACGCCTAATGCCAAACTGGTGCAACAACAAGCCTGTTCAAATAGCTATAGACGACATAGTAACTGTCTTGTTTGTATCGATGGATTGACCCACTTCCCAGTCAGGTATCGCCATGGACACTTGAAACCCAGTGGACAAGTTTTGATTAACCTGAATTTCAATTTACTGTGACGCGTAGGAAAATAAATTTACTAGGCTGGTTCAGACGATCAAACCAGTGGACAGATTCAGCGTATTTGAATCTTTTTTTAGCTAAAGTGGTTATTGAAAAGGATGATATCTCTTCTGCTAGATGAGTTACTAGCGGTCAAGTATTGAAAGTGGCAGAAACATGTATACGATGCCTCCGGCATTGGGAAGCGCGAAGATTTATCTTTTAGAAAAGGTATACAGGCTTTCTTCTACCTTCGCCAACTTTCTTTCTAACGATCCTTATTGAAAAATTAGTTGGTGGAGTCTAATGCGTCTGACATCGCACAGGCTGATCAAATTCGCTGGACTTGGGAACGAAGATGATAAGTCGACGGGTTGGCCTATTCACTAATGTTAACATACTACTACCACACGTCTAATGTGACCGACTTTGTTGTAATACAGAAGCAGATAACTGTGCAGTGGATTCGCACCCGCACTAACCGAAACCAGATATTTCAGTCAACGGATCGACATACATATCTGGAGTGCAAGTGAATTCTTGAAGTCCATAACATCGTTCCACATAATCATCGCGATACTATGTACGATAAACAATACAATTTAACTATCCCCTTTCACATAGGGGGAGCGGATAGTACCTGCTACAATTTGATAATTCCCTTCACCTGAAACGAAGTAAAGAATATTACTTTTTGCCCGTAGCGTGTCGTTTTTTTCTGTTATTTTTTTCTGTTTCCCCACTAGATCACTATCCCTCCATCAGACGCTGGCTACGGATTCACTCTGAGGTCCAGCACTGATTGGTCAACATCACCAATTAATCGGTGTCAGAGTAGCACTCCAAGATCGTCGTCAACCACGATGAATGTATCAGACTCTGAGAAGCCAGTGAATGCCCACTCGAAAATATGCGTTTACCATGTTCAGGATGGATCACCTGCTGACCAAGCTGGGCTTCCTGTTGGAGCCTACCTTGTTGAGATAGATGGCGAAGCACTGGAGCAGTCCACAACTCTCAAACAAGCAGTTTGCCGCCTTCGCCGGTCAGCGAGCAAACATCCTCAAGGTGCTGTAACCATCGGCGTGGAGTTACCACAGCAACCCCATCCTCAGAGTGCGTCTTGCAAAGTGACGGCTGGTGTTTCTCTTACAATGCTTTATGGTGCACCTTTGATATCCTCTCGGTAACGGTGGTTGAAACCTCGTGCGCGAAACGCTACAGGTCTGCAGAAGTGCGGAAAATGAACACTCTCAGGAAGATGTTTGGCTGATCGCACTCTTTCACAGCGTGGTTTAGCCTTTACTTTTTGTTCTGTTTTGTAAGCACTTCAGGCCTAGCGATAAAGGGCTAACAGGATTGTTAGTTACAAATACTATATAAAAAATGGCCTAGCGATGGTGTCATTCAGACACCAAATTTTATTAAGTTTTTCATGTATATCTACGCTATCAGTCCTAAAAACTTAATATATTGAGTACGTGCATTTGGCGGGGAGTTTGCATGAAATCCCATATCAGTCACACTCTCCAGCGAAATCACGAAATGACCCACGAGGTACACGGTTTTCAGTGCTTGGTTGACCGACTGATACATGTATCCCGTCGTTGAATCGGTCAGCATGTAATCCGTACAATCTAGCTGTAGCTACCCAAAGGGATTTACTGCTGGGTCTGGTGATTATTTTATATAGGAAGTAATCACTGTTGAAAGGGGGCACCAAAATAGACTAACTTTCAAGCAATAGTTTAGGCAATATGTCGTTGTTAGTAGCGTTGGCTCAAGAATGCTGTTTCAACCGAAACCTGTGGCAGACTAAAGGTAACGCAGTCATTTGAAGGTGATGATGAACGATGAATTCAGTCGACATTCAGTTGAACCTCCCGTTTAAAGCAACCTAACTTAAATTTGAAAGTAGCTCGCCAGTGGCGTACGATCCGGTGTCCAAGTAGAAAGAATGATGGAAATCTAAGATCTACGCTTCCTCCCTGATTTACCTGACGAGGAGCAAATCCGGCAGTGGGCTGTCAAAGGGATTTCGGAAGCCTTATTAGTGGTCCTGGGTCAGGAAAGACATATAGCTCCAGTTGAGTGTAAAACTTTGGCGTGTAAGTGTGTGGCCTTGTGGGAGACAGTCGGTAGCAGCTAACGAAACGGGTCACGTGTCCGATACCTCTCAAATCACTTGATGTTAGTGGGCTTTCTAGGATCCGGTGATATATCTTTTGAGGCATACTGCTTCTTATAAGTTTGTTGGGCTCTATCTTTTAACACGGTCCTTTTGCATATTAGCTGTCTGATTACTCATGATGAGTCATCATTTCCACTGACTATCACCACGATGTTTTGTGCTTGAATTTTAATACACTATCACTGAAGTTTAGCTGAGGTTGTTAATGTCCACTCAACTTACATACTCTTGTACCTTTTCAGCGGGTAACCTCACTGCCAACAACTGTGTTCCAGTTGCTTGCGGATCTACCCTAATCTGTGAAGAACGGTGTATTGATCCGGTGGATCCTGTGGAATCCAATAGTTCGGGACGCCGAAAGCGTTTTTTCAAATTGGCTCATCCAATCCTGCAGTTGAAGTGGTCCGATGTAACAGCCGAGGAGGCACTACGGCAGTGGGCGATAGCTGACCTACTGAGCAATGGAAGCCGCCTTGTAAACGAGCTGTTAGCTGGAGTACGAGTCTATCTGGTGAAACTTCGGGAAGCCGGCTATCTGGATAGGAAGGAGTTGAATCTAATTTTTCGAAACATGACTGAGGTGAGCGGTATTTCTGACTGAAACTGCACTAGTTGCTATCCTCTCACTAATCATAGTCCGTAGGATAGGTGCATTTGAACGCGTCATCTCATGCTTCGATCTTAACGGTTTTGGTTCAGTTCACATGGTGTATAGCAATCGTAGTGAAGTACCCTTTTGTACGTGGCGAGATTTCACCACCGAATCCTAGCTGGAGACAATTCTATTCATGACCATTGTTCGACAGTCCGACAAGCAAACACAATTCTCACCCTTAAAAAGACGTTATGCTGATCCCTAGAAGAGGCCGCATTCTCCTTTGGTATAGCTCCGATGCGGCCGTGACTGAACGCACACGAATGCAAATCCTACTGATTGGTAGACTATTAATGGGCTCCCCCGGTTTGATTCCTTTTTCGGGTAACTAAAATAAGATCGAACAAAGTGCGAACGATTACCTCGATTTTCAACAAACATCACCTCTATGGGAGTGAACTTTCTGCGTCAATTCCGTTTGCGCCCACATGAATTGCTATGGTCATCCGCTTCGAGGGTTGTGATGCTCTTCATTTCTTGTATAGCTCCAGGTAGCTGACGTTTAGTTGATCAGAACACACACTAAGGTAAGCTTTAACAGCTCAACTCGATTCCTATGAGAACTACTATGCATATATCTGCCCTTTTTGAGCGAAAAAACGACTAGTTTCACTGATACGACATGAATTTTCGTGATAAATTCACGATAATGAGAGAACTCGGTCATGGTTGTTTTGGAGTTGCATTAAATGGTAGAGCTATTTTCCACCTTGGGAGAAGCCGTCTGGAAAACAAAACTTCAAAATTTAGATGCTTTTGAGATATTGTCCTCTGACAGGTCCAACCTAGTAGTAAATTTGACGGTGCCGCCTCATATAGATAATAAATTGGCTCTCTCTTGTGGGTTTACAACTATCAGTGACGGATGTCCCGTAAGGGGGGTTTACCTACTGTTTCATTATCCCTGACGGATTTTATTGTGTTTTTGCAGAATGTTTATTGTCATTTTTTACTTTTATTGGCCAGAAATTACGCATCAATTGTCATTTCGATGTCACAATGAGACAGAGCTCCCTTTATCTGTTGTTTGTTTTTATTCAGATCACTTCCATGGCTTCCAAGCTGTTTAGAAGTTTGAATGATAGCTGTCTGCCATACACAAAGACTGACGATCAACCAACACTCCCCTCCGGAAAACTATCTCTTTCCAATGGCGGGACGTGGAGCACACCGTCTGAACGCATCGCTAGCAAAGCAGTCAGGATTCTCAAGAGAATTCGTAGGAGTTTGGTGGGTTCCCGTTCTAACAACGAAATTGGTGAGAAAAATGACTCAAACAAACCTCTGAATGGTGTGGATTCGTCAGTTTCATCTTCTCGCACCATTCTCACGAGATCTGCCTCCGAAAACGCTCTGACCCGCATTAACGTCGTCATGAGTGGTAAGGAAAACGAAGACACAAATACCACTGACTATCCGATGCGAATACTGGCACCACCGCCACATGGGCACCTCGATAAGCCTGGTTGTTTAACCCGACCGTTTCTGAAGTCACTTCTGGACGAATGTGTCATGTATTCGGTTGACTATCTCGACCGACTACGATACCTACAGGAATTACGCAGAGGCTCCACGCAGTTACGAGAATTCTTACGTGTGAGTTATTCGGGCATCTTGAGCGAATGTGTTTTACCCAGCCCGTAATTCTCAAATGGCAAGCTAGCGAAGAGGGTGTTACTATCTTCGTCAAATTCCAACACACAAGGGCAAATCAGAAGTCAACCAAGTTTGAGATACATTCGGGGCTCTGCTTTCAGAAAGTGTTTGGCCACCTCATTTTCCTAGAATAACTTTGATTGAGTCTGCCACACTTTCTGTCGACTTCTTAGGTTTTTATGTAGAACGGCAAATGGCCTGATAAGAATTAACCTTGCCGTTCAACTGTAGGTCAAAGCAGGAATTTCAAAGTATTCGCATGGCAGATTGCAGTTTTTCTTCTTGCGACAGGCTACAGTTAGAGTGTGATTTTCTCTTCACAGTTGTAGTTTTCCGCGTCTTTATTCCATAAGTTTAAGCCAAGCTTCTGCTACGAAGTTCGAGGTACTGAAGAACAAGAAATTCTTTTTTGTATGAAATCAGGTCATTCCTAAAACTCCAACATCTTTTCAGCCACCGAGAAGTCAGTTCACATTGAGTTACTTCCACACGCGAACCTTCCTAGCCTAGATGTACAAGAGCACTTGCGTCTTCTTTTGCTTTCCTTCAAGGGTAACCAGCCTTGGAACATGTATCTGTCAAAAGGGAAAGACACGAAGGACAGCCTAATCCAGGAGGTTGTCAGTGCGTGGTAGCTCGTCTACATTTGCTGCTGGTTGCTACACGGTTCAGCCGCCATCTGATCAATTACCAGTCTAGGCGATAAAGCAATAATTTAAATTAGTACAATGGGGATTAAGAACATCATAAACGGGAGAATCAGCTAGGTTCTAGGTAGGTCTCTCGTCAAAACTACACGGGTATACAGATGACTGCATTTCGCTAGCACAAGGGGCATTCAAGTACAGAAGACACGTGCACCAAAGCATTTGAAGAAAATTCTCATTGTGAGTTTCCTCAGAAGAACACAGAGACTGTTCTCGAATGTGCGATGCACGTGGACAACAACCCGAGGCCACATTAGTCCTAAAAAAGCCATAACAATATTTTGGAAACTCTAATGATTTTTAAGTTAGACGAGCTGTTAGGAAAATCTGTACGCTATTAAAGCTCAGCCATCAGAAGATGTTATCCACCATCGCTGATTTCCATAAACGACTATCAAGGACACAAATTTGATTGAAAGGATACTGTCGGAATTCCTGTAAGCCCTGATGTTTTGAAGTATCGTTCAGCTATAGCACCTTTTGGGCGCCTAACGGCCATGCCACCAGAAGACTGGAATACCGCCAGGTTGCCCAAGCCTAAACAGAGGAAGTCGAGAGGCAGAGGTCGAGTTCGAACCTCGGAACTCCCGGTCAGCAAATTGGCGCTCTAATCACTGAGCCATCTCGCCCTCAGTTTTATCACCGTTCAATTTTCTGACATGTCAAACTGGACATAATCTATGCACTATAATGTGAAAATGACAAAAAGCTCAACACATTTACTCAAATTGCACAAGCTTTGATCACAAAAACCACAGGTTTATGAACCAACCCGTACGTTTATGTATCCAAATGACCATCCATAATCGATGGCTAGCGATTTGTTTACAAATAGATGACACGGGAGAAAAGTCATCTAGCTGCCAAATAACGCGCTGATTAGGATGTCTTTTCGCTGGTGACCAAACACATGTAGGTTGTGTGGAGAGACTTGGGAACTTTCAGTCGAGGTTTATTCCGTCAAGCGAGGCCGATCTATGTCGAAGAACCGAGAAGCGCCGTACAGTGCACATCCCGCGGAAATCCAGAGGCCTGGAACCTGTGACCTCCCGGTTACTGGCTGAACTAACCTTTCTGTAACGTGTGGCTGATCAGTGATGTAACTCGCTCTTAGGTAGAATATAGTGCCACTCATCCTTCAGTCACAGAAGCCACGTCACGTGGTCACGTGTTGACCGACTTCTCGACTGACGATTTATCAGATGAAAGGTTCACTTATCGTGTGAATTTTTCTTCTGGGCTGCTAACTGATTGTTGGCAGTGTGAGATTTGTGAGTTTTCAATGAAATTTTCGTTCTGTAAGTGAAGCAAATGCACACTGTTTCATTCTTATGGGGATCATCAGGGATGTGTCTCTCACGCTCGCAGTCGGACGGTAAATTGTTGCACTATCAGTCGGGGTGGGGGGTTGGGTTCGAAACTCTGAATTTCCTGTGATGCGATGCTGCTGATTCCCGGTAAGGATGAAACAGCAGTGCTTTGCTTTTCAGCTTTTCAGCGTCGACTGGTTTCATTTACTGGAAGAAACATCCAAAACTAAATTGCCAAAGTCAGCAAAAAGGCTAACAACCAGGACACGTTGAGTCTTTGTTGACAAAACAACAGTTGTCTTATTGGTTCCGTAGCCGGTTAGCAGCTACCAGTTCAGATATTGAGCCCGGGTCCGCAAGTCACGTAAGTCCGTGAGCTTCTCCGCTGGAAAACTCGGACTCATGATGTGCTTCTGTGTTCATTTTCTCTAGAATGGAATAATACGATACCAGTGTCATGCAGGACGTGCCCGTAAGAAGGATCCACGGATTTAGATTTCCAAGCATTACCCCAACTACGATTTCTGTCAACCTTTTCGAGTAGATACGTTAAAGATTTTGTCACACAGAAGCCGTCGCTTGCTGAGTATTGTGTCAAATATATAATTTTCTCCACTACAGAAGCAGTCAATGGTGCCTGGAGTTCCAACTTTGTCAAACTTCCTTATGTTACCGCATGAAGTAATATATATATATATATATACGCACATATGTATATATTCACAGCCGTTAGGTTAGTCACTCTTCGTATACGGAACTCCATCTGTGGCAGCTGGAGGATATTTCATTACACCGTTTTCTGCAGTGGAATCTTCGATGAAAGATGGGACTGAAACTCACAGCGAATCTTCTCTATTTTATGTTCTCTTTTATAGCTCAGTGGTTGTACCTGCAAGTGTGAAGCAAACTTGGTATTCCTAGTTTTGATTCTGCAGTACCCACAGAACTTTTAAGCACGCTGTTCAGAATATAGGGCTAGTGATAACAGGGGAAACTGCAAGAAATCACTCAGCATCATTCCACTCGTGCGGCAGTGAAGCATCGGTGTTGAACACTGATGTCATACTGTCGATTATGATGATGATTAAACTCGTGAAGGTCGCGTTTTCTGTCGTCTATTGGCTCATCTATTCTACATATTATACATTTGTGTTATTAACAACCGCAAACCTCACAACATGCATCAACACGATAATTGTAATTCGTTTTTTAGCTCACCCGTCGTCTGATGGTTGATCTAGAGAAGGTCAAACGCCACACGGGGCCCCATCATGTTGATCAACAAGCTTTGGACGAATGCGTGTCACGTGAGTTCACTGTGCCATACATATTTGCGTGTAAAGAATTCCACCCCGAAAAAATTAATCAAATTTGTCAATTCTGGAGAGTTGGTTGTGTTTCGGAAAGAATAAAATCCCACCTCCTGTGCATGACTGTCATACTAGAGAAACAGTCGTTGCAAAGAAAGCGAACATCATATTCCGTACAAGTCAAGTAAACCTTGCAGTTCTTGTTGCGATTGGCACAGTCCATCTGTGTTATCACTCATTGTATATTTCGTTGAAGTAGTTCATGAACTGGGCATTGTGGCTCGAGAATTTTTCCCCAACTCATACAACTTATAGCTTAAAAAACAAAGTACGCCGAAGCTGTAGGACAATGTACTTAAGAGCAGTCCTACTTTAGTGTTCTGAAGCTACCCCTAGCCAAGATCTGAACGGTTTCAAACTTCTGATCAGCAGTGCATTTGCGGCATTTGCTGTAGCATGCTGGCAGTCAGGTGATACGTAAATCAGCACCTGCTGATGAATCAGATTGACCAAAACAACATCTAAGTTCGACAAAGTTTAGGTACTTCGAATCAACCCAACCACCATCTACAGAATAAGGTGCTTCTCAGTTGAGATGCCTTCTGGAGAAAGATTAGTGGAGTACAGGCGGTACATTGTAATACGAAATAGTGTCGGCAACAGCCCATTTGGGTTCTTGGGGATGTTCACATCCCCCTAGCTGGAACCCACCTGATTTATCTTCCATTTGGCTGCAAAACCATACAAAATCTGTCCCGTCGACGAGCATGCTATTACTTTCTAGCCAAACTGCCTAACTAAGGCTAATCCGCCGTTGTGCGCTGGGTTTTTGTTGGATAAGGATCGTGAATGGCGGCGATGTCTTCTTACTCCGATAAGGTGCTCATATATGTTTAGTTCACCGCGGTCTGAACTTGATCATTTTCTTTAGGAACATAGAACGGGTTGTTTGGAAACCAGGACATGGGGACAATGATGCTACTCTTAGTAGTTGTACTGCACACTTTTTCCTCCTTCATACCCTTATTCACTTGCCTGCTTGTCATCTTGTAATTTAACACAATGTACGATCATACGTTAATTTGCAGTACTACGTGACGTGGTTCTAAGCCCAAACGTCGAGAAATCCCTTCTAAGCACCTCTGGTTCAAGTAGATCAGCACACCTATCTCGCCGAAACAGCGTCCCTGTGGATAGCAACTTTCCTACGGACTCCATGGAACAAACTGGGACACCACATCTTACCATATCGAAGATGACTGAACCTCCGGATGGCGGTACTCATACTCCACAAACCGATACAGAACTCGGGCGGTTAGCACTTCTCGTCCAGGAACCACTTTTTCCTTCCGGTCAACAATCTGATATGGCTTCTGTTCACATGGAACCCCTCCGTAGTTCTTGTTTGATAATATATCGTGGTCTCCTTGAGTGCATTATCGACAGCTACGCTAGGACAGATAGAGAGTCCGAAGGCAAAACACTGTATACCGGTAAGGTAAGTGAATCAACCAAAAATATGTGCAAAACTGTGTTTCAGTCTAAACACGTATTTTAATTTATGTCGACCGATCGAACAGTGGGTTAACTGCCTTCCCTCTAACGACGCCTATGTGGGACTAAGATCGCGATCACTATCTATAGCTTCACTGACGGATACTGCTTAACTTGGGGGAAATATCAGGTCTACAGGGGAGGCCTAGGTTATAAAAGGTTTGATCGCTCCGGGTGAATTTGCTGACTTTGTTTTATTGGGTGGTTGTACACGGCCTGCACTTGGCATCCTCTGTTTCTTTTCTTCAAATTGTTTTCTCAATCAGTTTTCCCGATTTACCGGTAACACCATAGGCAGTGAATCTGAGTTAAGTAAAGCTCGACGTGCTATCAGCGGGTTTTTGACACTAATAGCTTAATAAACATAAAGTCATCTCACAAATACCAGGTCATCATCCTCAGTTAATTTATGAATAAAGATTTCTGGTTGAAAAATCGGAATTAGTCGACTTGTCAGAAACGAGTTTAGGAAGGTTTTGAGTAAGACGAAGAGTACTTTCCGTTGAGTAGTTTACGTTCATTTTGTAAGCGGCTATGAGTTTGTTGAACGAACGTCAGAACTGACAAGTTGGTCGCTCGTATGCGATTGCAATCAGTACTTTTGCGCTCGTGAAATAACTGCATAGACCTGACCATGAATAATGAAATCTCAACTATCAAAAACTGAAATGGATGATTGCAATGGACTTCATCGAAACAACTGACAAGTGTATTGTTTCGACTAGGCGTATACTGTGCGACTTTTTTTTAAGTCAGCGTTCTGCGGTTATCCAAGAGTGTCTCCTTGTACCTTCTATATGTGAACAAGAAGCAACACTACACACAGTAGTGTATACAAGGTTAGTGATGTTACCATAAACTCAGCTTGCTTCGAAATGTCTGATTAAATGCACACGGGTGATCCTTTGCGCACTAACACTTTGTTGTGAGATGAACAGAAACTACAGTACACTTGAGTGAGGATCGAGTCACTTGACGTGAGAGTTTAATGGCTCCAGTGGAACAGCCGACTGGTCACCCGACCCCGCGGCTTAATTGCTTGGCCCGTTTCCATTGAGAATAAATTGAGTCAGCATCATAGACAGTTTGCAATGATTTAATTGTACTAAAACTCTCTATTATTGTTTTGTAGACTTTCGCTTACTTGCTGCCGCGAGCTCTGCTCTTGGTCGGTTCCGATACGGATATTCTGGTGGGAAACGAACCAGCGGCTCTACTTTGCTATCCTGTTCCACTGAAGAGTATATGTCTACAACAATGCAGTACAGGCAAGTTGGGCCTTGGAAGCTTACATATCCTGTCCTGGTATGCATTTAATGAGACTGAAACATCCATTTTTGGATCAACGAGCGCCTCATTCATGTATACTTGACGAATTCAATATCGAGAGGCACATATATATGTACATGACTTGACTTGTGTACAACATTCACCCAAAAGGATTCCTTAGAAAAATTAGTACACACAAAAAGGCGACTCACGTTTACGGGAAGACCTGTTTTATGGACCTTATAACTTTCTACTCTGTCCTGGGAGGCAGATTCCCCGCCAGGTGTAGGATTCAACAACGGTGTATTAGGTCACGGAAAAAACAGCAAAAGTAAACGTGGAAGCTTTCAGAATTTAGTTTTTAATACGCTCTATCCAGGATTATTTCTCAAAATAAATACAGCGCAACCCCTGGAGAATGCCCTTAAGACTGAATGTAGCTACGGGTCGTCATTTCACAGCAAACTGCTTGAGTTAATCGGTTGTGTGAATACTGTCCGTGAAGGTTAGATGTGATTTATCTCGTTTTATCTCATTTCTGAAAGGCACGTTCATCAGAGGGCCCATACGCATCCTGCTTCAGCTTAGATTAAAGAATGTCACTTGGCAAAATTGTTAATAACTAGCGAAGTAAGCCATTATACCATGCACGAACGTTTGAAAGTCACCGTAAAATTATTGGCCATTTGAGAGAGCAACAAAAGTCCAGCTCACCCCTCCAAGAAATCTGTCTTACTTGGACTTTTTCAGCACAGTATTAGGAAAGCGACGCGATTTAAATCTGCCCGTACCTGAAGGACCAGTTACGTATATTTGATCTTCAGGTATTCAATCCAAGGTGTCTTCTTGGCTTACCAAGAGTTATCGGACTGCAATTAACAATTGGTAACAGTCCAGGATCGCTAGAACAGCAAATAAGGTTGTTGGGCTTATATACGTTCAACCGAAGAAGCGGGGCGGTGATATGGGAACGGAAAACAAGTGGATGTGTGGAATCCCCGTACCATTTTGGCCGGAACTTGCGTGATTCTCACTACATGCGACTGGAATCTCCACAGGATGTAGGATAGACACCTAAATGAGCCCAATGGCTGCCACATTGTAGCCGGCTGCCAAGAATACGTTGACCTGTTGTTTGCGTTTTTGTTGGGCGTCTTTACCCTTCGTAATGCTTGAATGTGTTTATTTCGATGTTGTCTGAGGTTGTGTACACCTTATTCCCATCGTTTCATCTGAAGATAACAGGCTTTTTGCGCTAAGCTGTCGTTTAATACTTTTATAAGTTCCCGTCTCATCTGCCTGTGATGCTCCAGCGCGTCTTTACTCCTACCGTGTTACTGCTGTTAATAGTTCTCTATCTTCACTAGCATACATGACGTTTTTTATTAAAACGAGCACATGTGTAGGCAATATGAGGTGAACAACGGTACTACGGTTACCAATATCCGAAATGAGAAGGTGAGAAAACTGGTAGGAGAATCTCACACTAAATTTTATCTCTTGCGACGTAGGGGTAGCATTAATAAGTACTGAGGAGTAGAGACAGGATCCTACACCAGAATTTGTTCAGCTACTCCAACCAGTTCCTAACAGTCTACAATCCATTGATGCACTGAGTCAATGACGCACTGAGCCTTCTGTCGTTCGAATTTGCCATCCAGCCCGTGAGAACTGTGTTTTTTGCCATACCTTTTCACATAATGCGTAACTCAGTCGAATATGCTCGTCAGTAAATGGATGAAATCAGTGCTATATAAGAGAACTTGGTAAACGGAAAACTTATTTGAGCTCCGATGGAGTCCCCAATTCACACCAACTTAAGTTGAAGATGAGAGAGCCTTTGCCGTTTGGATGTCGACTGGGAAATTCGGAAAAAGTCGCTTGTTGTGTTATGTATTCCCGGTGTTTTATCCCCAAAATTCTCGTATCCTCCAGCCGTATAGAGCAGTTTAAAAGTCCGATTAAGCCGCACACTTACAATATCTGGTAGACGAACGGCGAAACATCTGCAAGTCACTTACCAAGCTCGGTGAGAAAAGTAGCAACTTGTCAACTACCAGTTTCCCAAAATTAGATTTTGGTAGCATCTGTGGTTGGTTGGAATTCACTCTTTAGATCGTAGCATGTACAAAGGAGAAAATATCGTTCCCATACAGTACCGGATAGATGTTGATAAGAACTAACTGGCAAACAGACATTTTCTGTAAGGTCGTTCATCCACTTTGATGCAAAGCAATGTATGGTACTGTCACTCCCCTTTTGTAGCCACAACGAAACGGAGTGATAACCGATTGCCAGAATATTGTTGATTGAGGGACAGAGATCGATGCTAACTCATAATTAGTGTCGCTGTCCAGTAGTATTGCCGATTTTTCCCATATATGTCACTTCTTTTCAGAACATGAACCTTATGCTTCTTTCGTAACAGGAAGACGATAGATAGTCACCTCTCTCTGTAGAGGATACTTCACATTTGGTTGGTCATCTGGGCCTTCTTCCAGTGATTATCCCCATCCCAAAAGGTACTATTTCTTGATAGGCTCATTCGATCCGTTTCTTCACGTGCAGACAACTGGGTATCAGACGATCAGTGAGAACATGGTACATCATGGAAATGCGTGATTAGCACTAGTCTTTTGGTTTGGTTCCAGATGAGGAGCTTATAGTATTGCCTTAAGCCCGAACCCCCTCTCTCAGTGCTGATCAGGTGTAGTAAAACAGGCAGAGGGTGATGATCTAACAATTGAGGCGCACCAAAGTGATGGATTGGCAACTAGCCTCTTATGGCTGCACCAAAATGACAAAAATGGCGTTCGTGTCCAAAAAATGCATCAATGGTCCAATCCATTTAGCCTATGATGTTCGAAAATTTGATTTCACTGTCCTCGTAAAGCGCGTGTCTGATACAGTTAGTCCTGAGAGATGCTTTCCGTTGCTCAGCATCTGGTGATGAAGCGAGACACTGGCTACTGTCGTGGGGATTTTCTTCCGAATGCACATCCTTGATCTGTACAGTCAGTAGAGCTTTTACTGATGCGGAATCACAATGGATGTTCAAACAACTCCAAATGTGTACTCAGTAATGATTAACCGCTGAAAATCCTGCATACCGAGTACCGTACAGCTCTCAACGGCCTAATTACGGAATCATTACCTCAGTCAATCTTTCCTGTCCTCTCGATCACACATTCGAAAAGCGTAACCCAGTCGGCTTAAGTGGGTCGCAGTCGTCTTGTTTTGGTGAGTTCGATACGCACACCTATGCCGTTATGGTGAGGAGGAATTCATTATGGCGAGGGTTATTATGTAGGACGAGTTATGCATGATTCTGCTTTAAGTGCGTCGTACTCATACACACAAAAACTAACCGCTATTCACGTGGAAAAGCCAGATTTAGCTTGATTATGCACTTCTAGTCTCGAAATTAGCATTCTTCTGGCGAGGACAGTTTTTCAGTTCATGGTGACCTCCCTCCACAGTGGATCACGGGAAACTGAACTTCATGCTCAATCGACTCCAGTCCTATCTTGAGCATCATTGGTGTCAGTAGGAGTAATCCTCTACCACTCCCCAGAGTAGCTTTTATAGTGTTTTAACTACTCGAGTGGATTTCGTACAGTCAACGGTTTTTCACCTTTTTTCATTGATTACCAAACCGACGTATCGGACAAGCTA